GTGAGTCGGCAGGACGTCCATGAGGGTGTGCAGGGGGTGGCACTCGCAGGGACCGGTGGACTCTAACGGGCCGCGCAAGGACTTTCACACACTTAACTTTCACATTCTCTGAACCCCCGTTTACCCACCTTCAGCACAAAGCCCTAAACCCTTCCTTGCGCGAGAGGAGTAAGGGATTTGCCCAGAGCCTCGGGGCTGGGCAAGGAGCGCTGGCCCCGGGCGCCCCACCCCGCCCCGCTGGCCGCCCCCCCCCCTCCCCCGCCGCTCCAGGCCAGGGCCACTCGGTTCTCTAGGCCGAGAAACGAGACACGTGCTGTGGTTTATTTTAATTATTTATACTTAACAGATCACTGTTTTTCTCACACACACAAAACACAATGACATAAAATTGTGCCATTCAAGTGGGTGACAGACGAAACCTGTATTAATTCACGGTTCATTCCAGGCCACGTGCTCTGGCAACGGGGCAGAGAGTCACGCTGGATAATGGACGTTTTCTTCCTTCGCTGCCTCCGCGGCGCTGACCGGGAGCCCCCGTAGAGGGCCTTTGAGCGCCGCGGTGAACGGGGCCGGGGCCGCCGGCCCGCGCGCGGCCCGGTGGGCACTGCCGTGAGAAACCGAGCGAGCGAGCTCGTGCGGCGGAACCGCGGGGCGGGGGGCAGCCGAGGACGCGCTGAACGCGGCCCCGGCGCGCTGGGTTCTGGTTCCGGCGGTCCGCGCGCTGTCCCGGCGTCCTGGAGTGTTTGAGAGGTCCCCAGGCGACGCTGATACGGAGAGAGCGGGCTGGAAAGGTGCCACAGCTGAGAGCAGGGGCGGCCGAAGAGGGGGGCTCCTCGGGTGGGATCAGCTCACTGGCAGCAGTGGGCACAGGGCCCGCCTGGGAGCCCGGCGGCGGGGAGCCTGCAGGGGCTGCGAGCGGTTTGTCTGCGTTCACCAGGCCACATGGGGGCGTCCTGGCCAGGCACTCAGGAGGTCCCCCGGGAGGACAGAGACCGGACGCGACCCTCCACCTACGTCCGAGATGCAGGCCCTGGTCACAGGGCCACCGCGGCGCCCAGCACAAGTCACTACAGAGACAGTCTCAGGCCGCAACCGGGGCCACACTGCCGCTGGGATGCGGGCGTGCGCACTGAACCTTGGGGGTCGGCTCTGGGGGTCCCCCCGCCGCCTGGCTCCTGCACCCTGGCTGGGGGAGGGGGATGAGGGGGGCTCCGTGCTGGGACTCGGCCTCCACGGCCCCTCTTTGTGGGGCCCCCCACGCCTGGCCCATCACGGAGCCTCCTAAATGGTCTCCCGCTTCCGCCTCCCTGCCCCTCCCAGCAGCCAGGTGGCCCGACAGGACATGGGCTCAGAGGGACTCAGGGACGAGCCCACCAACTCGGCAGTGCAGCGGCCGAGGCCTGCGAGCCACTTCCTGGAGTAACTGAAAATGTGGACCACCCCCAGCACCGACGGCATCTCCTGAGGAGCTGGCAGAGCCCCAGCGCCGGAATCCCGCAGCTCGGAGGGCCCCGAGGGCCACCCAGGTCAGGGGGCCCCGCTCGGGCCCGGGGCGCTCCCCAGAGCCTTGCGCCGGACCGTGGGGCCCTGCCCGAGGTCCGCCCCCTGGGTCCCAGACCCCACCACGGGGTCTTCCCTGCCGCTTCCACCTGTGACCGAGTGGGCTTGTCCCGCCCGACTCTGACCTTGACCGGCTAAACCGAAACGTCCGACTTGACCTCTGTCCCAGGGTTCTGCAGTCTGTTCCTATGGCAATGGAAGCCTGCGCGCCTGCGTGGAGGCGGCAGCTGGAGCGGGCGAGCCTGCGGTGGGAGCCCTTTCCCTTCTCTCCCTGCCTGCGGGACCGCGGGGACCATCCCGCGGGTGGGACGGGGCGGTGCAGGCCGCGAACGTGAGGACATGGCGACTCTCACCCTTCCCAACAAAACAGGTGCAGAGAGCAGGCTTACAGAGGTGCCCTCTGCACCTTCATGCCCAGCACCCCAAGAATGACAGACTCCCCCGCCAGTCAGCCACGGGGACCCGGAGAGCAGCTCAGGGCTTCCCCGGGAAGCGGCCTGGGCTGGGGCCCCGTGTGAACCTCAGCCCCACCCCCTGGCTTGGGACACGCTGGGCGGGGGCACCGGGCCTCCCTGACCCTCTCCCCTCCTCTACACACCAGAGGCGGGATGGCCCGGTTCACCGGGAGGACCACCAACCGCCTCCCTGCGTCCCCCCGGCCCTCCTTCGGAGAACCGCTTCTCCTCAGGCGCCACCGCCCTGCCCCGCGGGCTTCAGGCACCTGGGAACCCTGGGAACCCAAGCCGGGTCTGGCCGTGAAAGGAGGTGCTGAGGAGGCCAAGGCACAGGAAGGAAGGAAGGAAGGAAGGAAGGAAGGAAGGAAGGAAGGAAGGGAGGGAGGGAGGGAGGAAGGGAGGGAGGGAGGGAGGGAGGGAGGAAGGAAAGGGAGGGGAAAAAGAAAAAATATTGACATGATAAACCCCCGGAGGCCCCGCTGCACTCGCTCCGTGGGATTCACGGGGTCCTTCGCGTTCTGCATCAGGCTGGTCGGAGCCGGCCGGGTCTGGAGGCCGCCGGCCACAGCCGCACAGGGACGCTGGGCGGGGTGCCTCCCCTGAACACCTGCCAGGGCTTCAGACCTCCCTCACGGTCCCTGCTATGGGCCCATCGTCACCGACGAGAGGTACCGCCGTTCAGTAGCTGCTCGGGGGACCGCGGGGATGACTGGCCACCGTAAAGGACCCCGACTGGCTGCAAGGGCTTCACGAGGAACATGTATGGCGATGGCGGGCACAACTTAGGGCACCCGACACACCTTGTGGGTTTTCTGTGTTCGTCTCTCATTAAGGAAGTGCCTCCTTGGCCACCGGAGGAAACATAATTGTAACCGTCCGCTGAAGCTGAGGGATAAGCAACCCCGGTTTAGTTTTAAAAGCTAAACATGGCTGATCTGCACTGATCACAAGGTTTTTAAGGAAATAAAACAACATTCAATATTTTTAGTCTATAAATAAATAAAACGCCCGCTTTACTTAGTCTATTAGCCAAATACAAGGCTGGAAGGAATGAAGTGGGATGCTGCTTATGAATTAAAAGGTGTCGGACACAGTTTCTGATTCTGAGAAAGTGACATGAATGGACAAAAGGGGCGAAGGCATTTTAAAGTAAAGAATATTTAATGGCCTGCGCACGCCTGACCTGACGGACTAACACACCTTTCAAGTCCTGTTATGAGACCAGCAGGGACACAGAAGACGAGGAGCAACGAGCACCAGAGGGCCCGCCGCCAGTTGAGGTCCGCACGAGACCAGGGCGCACAGGCCCCGGCGCGCCCGCGCCTCCGGTTTGGTGGCGACTGCGGCCGGCAGCCCCTCCGAACGGGTCACAGCACCCGCCCCCACCCCGGCAGCCGCGCAGAGCAGCCGCGCCTGTGATGAAGCAGCAAAGCCTGGCCCCCGGGGATGTCTTTGCATTATGAATGTGCCTCAGAAGCATGAATTACAGAAATAAAGAAAAATAAGGGCATGATAGTTTATTTTTAAAAACTGTACCACACTGATCGCAGGGACCAGCTTACACACCAGGAGGCTTTTCTCTTGGGCATGAACATTGCAGTACGTCGTACACCGAAATGTTTCCACAGGACCCAGAACGTTGGCGAAGACAAGCTCTTAGGTGAAGATAAACACTCATAATTCCGGTGTCCTGCCCTGCAGAATTAATTCAAACCTCCTATGAATCAGTGGCATTATAACGTTGTCATTGTGAGAAACAAAGTTCTCTTTTCAGCAGGCGGCGTGAACTTGTCCTTCCTTGTACTTTCGTCTTTAGCTTCTGTAATTTAAGCTGTGCCCGCCCTGGCCAGCGCACAGTCCTGTAAGACACCTCAGGAAACGTCCATGCTACCATAGCAAAGTTTAGTCATTTTACTTAAAAAAGAAAATCGAACCACCATCAAAATAAAGAAGTAAAACTGATTTTCAAATCATTTGAAAAGCATAGTACTTATGTGTCCAATACAGACCCAAACTCAAATTAAATGCTAGAATTATAATCTCCAAGCTTTTGCCATAAAAATTAGCATGTATACCCATATGGGTTTTATCAAATTGTGTCGTGCAATCAGTAGGAGAAAGTTACTTTTAGAGAAGAGCACGTTGGTGACAGTCCCACGTCTCTGTAGGAGAGACAAAGCCAGGCAATGCTACATCTGGCGTGAAGTTCCCGAAGGTATAAAATTTTGATCAGCATTAGGATGCTCTCATCCGAAACTCTCAACCCATATGAGATTACTTTAAGAGTAACTAATTGTGCTGTTGAGCAATTGTTCGGACAATCGCCCTTTTCTCTAAGCAGTGTGACTCACCAGTACTTCGCACTGACCTCTTCACTTCTGTGTTAGCATCTCAGCACCCAGGGCTTTCTGAGGCTGCTCAAGTCTCGCTCCATAAGAACAGCAGCTACTCCAACCTTGCAGTGGCGATTCTTACATCTACGGACGCAAGGGTCCTGTTACTTAGCTCAGCAACTAGGAAAAACATGGAGATTTTGGCTCTTCAAGCCAGAATCTCTTTGTGCTTTTTAAATGAAGCTGCTTTGGAATCTTTTTGGTATTTATCAGCCATTTCTATTTCCCTTACAATAAAAAAAGAATATATTTAAGGTAATTTTTATGTTCAATGTCCTGGGGGCATTGCTTGAAAACAAGCAATCACTTCTTTCTTTCAGCATCTGGAATAGAGAGAGTATTTCTGGTCCCTCCTTAGATCGACACTACTTGTCACCGTGTAACACTGAATTTTACAGACGTCCCTGAAAAGTGTTTGATTAAGTAAACGATGAATCACAGTGGAGTCTCAATTGGTTAACAGTGTAGATCCATTAAAAAAAAAATCACACTGAATAGTAAAAGAAAACCTTCAAGCTAAAAACAGAAGAAAAGGGGAAAAAAACCCTCCTAACAAGGAAAACCGAGGGTGTCCTCACCGAGGGTGTCCTCACCGATCCTGCACAGTGTCCCTGGCTGGCTGGGCTCCGCCTTCCCGCGCTGCAGGAGGAGGGAGCGGGACCGCCCACCACGCTCCGGGATGCAGGCGGGAGGAGGCTGCGTCACTGTAGCATCTCAGGGAGCAGAGCGGGGCCCCTTCCTCCCCCAATGGACTTCAAGCCCCGCGATGAGCGTCAGGTCCCCTCGGCCGCACTCACCGCAGGGTCGGGGACAACCCCTGTGGGTGGGGGGACAGCGGCCTCCCTCCCGCCCACCGGCCGGCCGGCCCCAGCGACAGCACAGAGCCCCAGCAGGCCGTGACCCTAGGCACCGACTGCCTTTCACGCTTCCCTCAGAAAAGTTGTGGTTACGCAAAAAGGGGGGTGGGGTGGAGAAATGAAAACTGACGTCTAAAGGCACGAAGTCGCATAGCTGCTCTAGTTGGAGTTTGTAAACAGAGAACAGGCTGAATTCCGGGAGCCCCGATCGGCGAGAGGAAAAGGCGACCAGAGCAGGCGTGGCCGGCGGCTTCTCTGGGACCCTTTGCGGGTTCTGAGGTCTACAGAGTAGGCTCTAAATACCCATACTTTAAAAAGCAATAAGGCAAATAGTATAATCGTTATTCCAAAAGTTACAATGGTAGTGTAGGCATACATAGTATAACTTAGTTACAACATGTGGTACTGTTTCTACTATCGAACCGTCCTAACCGTCTCTGCCCTACATAACTGTATATCCAGCCCAGTTTCAGTTAACACAAAACCAGCCTTGTACCACCACTGCGCGTTGGCCGTAGCTCTTCGACAGCAGTTTCTATTCTGCCGCAGAAATTATTCTGGAACAGGAGAAAGTCCACAGTCCGCTGTCCAGTCATTAAACACTATCGTATTTGTGAAGAGCTTCTTCCAACTTCTGTGTCACTTTTTGGAAAAATATTATTTGTTGTTGTAAGAAATGCTGCATCTGTGATTTAAAGTCTCTCACTCGAATTTGATGGAAGTGGTGAATCTCGGCCAAGGTGGCAAAAGAAATGGTGTTGCAGCGGTCCTGGATGCCGTCCGCCTTCTGCACCTCCATCTTCCCCTCCTCCACGTGCCGCCGGCTCTCCTTCACCTTGGTCAGCGCGCCTGCAGGGAGACAGAGGGCTTCAGAAAGCAGGCCCGCCCGTCCCCGCGGCCCCGGCGCCCGGGCCACAGAGCCGGGCACGCGGAACACTGGCCGGGCCCATTTCAAAGTCCTTTGAAATTTAAATAATGACAGTCATTACTTATTTAAAAAGGAAGGAATCTGGTCAAGTTTCTGAACACTCTGATGCTGCCGTTTCACTGGTTAGAACTGTCCTTTGCCATCGACCAAGTGACGACCCTCTCTCTTCCCAGTAGAAACACTAGACACAACTGCAGAGAATTGTCCCTAAAAAAAACCAAGAAACCCCGCACTTCCCGCATTCCTGAGAGAAGGGGCTGGACCCTGTCACGCACACACGCAGGCAGTGCCTAGGGCCTGCACTCGCCCGGAGGGAAGGGAACACGGTCATCAACTAGTAATGACACAGGAGCAAACTCTGCTTCGCAGGCGCACAGCTGCGACCCTGCCCTCTGCACACCCTGTACGTGAAGGGCTTTCTCTATAAAAGCAAGAGCCTGCAAGGCCCCAGAGCCTGCAACTCACTTATCGGAAAGTCTCCCTAAGGAGTCCGTACACAGGACTCCAGGGCTGGACAGAAGCAGGTCGCGCTCCCTCGGGCCCTGTTGCAGGTCATGCAGGGCCACCACCCCCGTGAGTACTGGCAAGGAAGGCGCGAGGGACGCCCGTACGCCCGGCCGGCCAGGAGCCTGGTGGTGGCCTGGGAAGGAGGCCGGGGGGCCATAGGCTTCTGTTGAGAACTATCCCCTGACACTTGTGTGCAAGGCGGAGGGAAGGGGATGCGCCCTGCCCCGCCCCGCCTCCCGAGCACAGTCCTGTGAGGACACAGGAGGGCACCGCTGTTCAGTCCTCGGGGCAGGAGACAAAGGGAGCCCACGCGTTCCTGCAAACCAGAGGTGGCGAGGCCCCCAGCGCCTGACCCAGCCAGCGCCGCAGGCCCGCTTCCCGCCTCCGTCCTGCGCTCACCCTCCCGCTGTGGGGCAGGGAGGGAGAGATGCCCCCGGGCCCCTGGCGCAGCAGTGGGAGCAGGGCCACAGGGGGCGGGAGCGGGGAAGCCCGGGCTTCGCTTCCGAGCGTACAGTTCGGACAGTGGTGGAACATCCAAGGGGAAAAGTTCTAAGTCTCTGAACCGCCCGCACATCAGTGCAGAGTAAACACAGGAGTAAGAAGGCCCTCAGAGGGGAAAGGGCGCTCTTCTTAGACACAGGCAAAGCCCTGAGGACTTCGCCCACCGACGACAAGTGTCACACGCACACTCGTGCATGTGCGGGTGCTTTCATCTGTATTTCCTAAACGGGATTTTTAAGTGTGAAGTGGAGAGAGCACCCCGGTTCCACCGACCCATGGCCGAGACGTGGGGCCTGCTCCGCGGAGAAGCCACGTTACTCGCACGAACACGGATTCATGAAGACGCTGGCCAACTCCACGCGCGAGCCCGGCACCTGCCAAGTTTGGTGCTTCCCGTAGAAAAATCGACATGGAAAAAAAGACCAGGAGAGCATGAGACAACTAAAGATGACCAAGCACAGGCGATTCTGAAATTCAAGTTCGAAACAGCGAGAGAGAACAGAGGGAGGGAGAGCCGCGCGGGAGGGGCAGGTCTCGCAGGCGGCTTGCGCCCCTCAGCACAAGTGGAGGTGCCAGGCCCACTGTGCGTGCATGGTGTGCGTGTAGGAGGGGGGGCGCCGTGGTGAGCCCCTCCGTGCCTGCTGCACCGGCTGGCGGATGGTGGAGTCGCTGGGTGGGCGCGGCCCTGCCAGCCCTTCCCAGCAGGGGCGGCGCACATGTGTGCGAGGGCCTCAGCCCAGCAGCTGCCGAACTCCCAGCAGGTGGGGTCGCTGCGTCCCACGGAACCGCTCCCACTACACAAAGCTGCAGCCGGCACCCATAAAACCAACCTAAAGACGGGCACGCCCGAGGCTCTCACAGCCTCTCGCACCAGCAAGGTGCCAAAACTCCTGGGCGCAGCCGCGTGTGCAAGGCCTCCGAGGCCTGGGACCCTCGGGCACGGCCACCTTTTGGCTCTTCACGCAGTCACGTGTGAGGAGCCAGGGAGAAATGTGAGACTCAGTGCTCTCCCAAATACGAATTTTTAAAATAGGTAACACAAATTCTGTTCTCCGCAAGGCCCCCAAAGTTCCTGGGGTAGGACCTAGACTTCAGTTAACTAACGTTTACAGCCCTGGCTGGTGTAGGTCAGTGGACTGAGTGCCAGCGTGTGAACCAAAGGGTTGCCAGTTCGATTCCCAGTCAGGGCACAGGCCTGGGTTAGGGGACAGGTCCCCAGCAGGGGGCACGCGAGAGGCAACCACACACGGATGTTTCTCTCCTCTTTATCCCTCCCCTCCCCACCGTCTCTAAAGTAAATAAATAAATCTTAAAAACGGGTACAGAACACGCTGCCGGAACGGGACGGTTGTGCCACACATGCAGCACCCAAGTCCCTGCCTCCTGCAGGTCTCTGAACAGGCCACCCCGCAAAGCACGCCGTGGACGGGCACGCGCCGGGGCACAGAGGCAGCCGGGCCCCAAAGCCGGCCGCTCTGTGGACGGGCGGCCGACCACGGCCTCCTCCGAGGGCCCGCGGGGCGCACGGGTCCAAGTGTGGGGCGCCGGCCGCAGGCCGGGCGGCGCGCTGGGGACGGGGGACAGGCGGGCGCCAACAGCCCACAGCAGCTGCCAACCAGCAACGGCTAATGCTGGGCACCTTCCCTGCACGATCCCCAACCTGGCAGCCACGAGGCAGCAACTCTGTAACGAAGCGACTGCTATTTTTACAAGAAAAGCGGAAAGCTACGCAACCCCTGTGAGCCTCAGAATCACCAGGTAACAGGGTAAGAGGTGAGATAGGACCGAGAGCCCAACTGACAGCAAAGCACACACCGCAAATATTTAGAAAAGAAACCAGAGCGCGAACGGGCCACAGAGGCGGGGCCGCGCGCCGGGGCGCGGCACACCTCTCCCTCCCGCCTTCCGCACAGGCCCCCCTCCGCCTCTGCTCCGACCTCCAGCTCAGGGGCCTTGCCCCCCACGGAGACTCTATACAGGCTCCGAATGCTCCTTCCGGAAACTTCCCTCGCTCAACCCACTGACTGCACCCGTAAAGCCCTTTCGCTTTTAGAAGATGCTTGTTTTTCTCAGCTTTGCAGTAACACGATCAGGATGCCATAAACAAAACAATGAAAAAAAGCACCTACATCGTAATTTCCAGAATCGAAGCCCAAACTGACATGGAGGCGGGGCGGCGCCCGCCCCACCCCTGGACGGCGCTGTAAATTAAGAACAGCTGAGAACCGCACCGCGGGACCGCGCAGGGATACCCGGGCTTCGCGTGGTGCAGGGGGCAGCCGGGCCAAAAATCACTCTGCAGACTAGGAACGAAGGGCAGGACAAGCCACCAAGGAGGGGAGGCGCCCGAAGGCCAACTCTGCGGGAGCGTCCGGTGGGCCCGCCTGCCGCGGCCCGGACCGCGGGCGTGACGCGCTGGGGCCGCAGCGGCACGGAGGCAGGGGCGCGGACCGTTTCCGGGGTCACGGACCCTGTTTCCGGGGTCACGTGGTTTCTGAGGCGACGCGCTGACGCGCCTGAAACAAGGAAGGGCCTATACAGTTTCGCTGAACGATACTCTCTGGCTGGAAATCACCTGTACACATTTCTACACGTCCCACATTTTAATATTTAAAATTTTAAATATCACAAGAAAGGCAGGGAAAGCGGAAATTCCCCTCAGGTCCAGCCTCCGAGCACCGGGAGGCTGGCGAGGGACAACGCCCGGGGCCGAGACGGCCCCAGACCGGCCCCCTGACCCCCAGGGCCCAGCTCCCCCAAATCCCGCGGCCGGGGAGGCGAGCGCCACCCTCTCCCCGCGGCACTCCTTGGCAAACCCGGAGCGGTGTGTAAAGGCCAGAAACGGTGCCCAGAATCTAAAGAGTACAGGAAACGCGTATTTTTTTAAATCACGGAATCAACACAAAAATGAAAAAATAGAGGCTTTCCAAACCTCTATTTTAAAGTGGTTGGGGAGGAATCTGCCCCTGCCAGCCGCCTCCCCTCCCCTCCCCCACCCCGACAATCCACACTGCCTCCCAAAACGAAAAGGGGCGTGGGAGAGTGCGGAGAGAAGTCACGCCACACACTCGGGGGACGAGCGGTCTCCGTGGGTTACACAGAAGACCCCACAGTACTCACGGCGCCAGCGCCGGCTTTAAAGGAAGAGGAAATGAGAAACAGCGGTGCTCGGAGGGCCCCGCGGCCGGCGATAGACGGACCCGAGGAAGCCGCAGCGGGACCAACGCGCGGGCGCGGGGAGAGCTTACTGTGAAGGCGAGACCCAGGCCAGCACTGGCTCCTGGGGTTCAATAGGGAAGGACCGTCCACGCCGACGGCGTGAGAACCTTCCGGAAAGCACTCACATCTCCAGGGCTGCGGAGACGGCGGCCTAGCGGAAGGCAACACACGAACAAGCGCAGCCCGCAGCTACCCAGCTGAAAACGCAACGCGTCCTCAGCGCCGTTCCCAGCACCGGGGAGGGAGGCCATTTATTTCCGCCACAGCCACTCTGCCCCGCGCCCCCAGCCGCCTCCGGGCCCCAGGCGGAGCCTCAGCCACCACCGCCGCTGCCACCCCCTGTGCCCGGGCCGGAAGGGACAGGGAGCCGCCTGAAAGGCTCCAGGCCGGAGCCCTCCGACTCACTCAATCAGACGAACCGCGGGGCTCTCTCCCGGGACACAGAGCGCACTCAGGAGCTGACGCCCTAAGAGTTCCTCCCGAAAGGAGCCGCAGGAGGCCTGGAACCTCCTTCCCCTCCCCGAGGATGAGATGCCCAGTCCCCACGGGGGGGGGCGGGGCGGGAGGGGGGCGATGCTGAGGCCGAAGCCGCTTTCTTACTTCCTTTTGAAAGAGCTGCAAGGGCCTTCCAAGAGTTTGGGGCACAGCTCTCTCTACCTTACAAACGGGGGGCTAAGCGACTTGCCCCAAGTCC